AAAGCCAATGCGCATAACACCAGACTTCTCTAATGAGACTTTACAAGCAAGGAGAGACTGGGGCCCCATTCTCACTCTTCTGAAACAAAACAATGCCCAGCCTAGAATCTTATTCCCTGCAAAACTAAGCTTCATATATGAAGGAGAAATAAACACATTTCAGACAAGCAAAGTTTCAGAGAATTCACCAAGACAAGACCAGCCCTACAAGAAGTACTCAAAACAGTGTTATGCACGGAACACCATAACAAAAACTCACGAATATAAAAACAACCAAAACCCAAAGATTCAAGGCCAGATATTATAATGGCTCAACAGAGAAATCAAAGCAACAACATCCAACCCAACAGAATGAACAGTAATCTACCTTATCTATCAGTTCTCTCAATAAATGTGAATGCCTAAAACTCTCCACTCAAGAGACATAGGCTGGCTGAATGGATAAGAAAATACAGGCCAAGTCTATGCTGTCTTCAGGAAACACATCTAACCTGCAAGGATGCATATAGACTAAAAGTAAAAGGGTGAAGATCAGCATTCCAGGCAAGTGGAAGCCAAAAGAAGGCTGGTGTGGCAGTTCTAATTTCAGATGATTTAGTTTTTAAAGCAACAAAAGTAGTGAAAGACAAAGAGGGTCATTATATAATGGTGAAGGGCACACTTCAACAAGAAGAGTAACAATTTTAATATATATGCACCAACTTAGGTGCACCCTGTTTCACAAAGCAAACCTTACTGGATCTAAGCAAATGGATTAATAGCAACTCCATAATCACGGAGATTTCAACACCCACTGACGGCACAGACAGATCCTCCAAACAGAAAATTAATAAAGAAATAATGGACTTAAACAAAACCCTGGAACAACTGGGTCTGACATCTATAGGACATTCTACCCAAAATCCACTGAATATACGTTCTTCTCATCAGCTCACGGACATTCTCTAAGATTGACCATATCTAGGACACAAGTAAATCTCAAGAAATTTAAAAAATAGAAATCATACCATGTACCTTCTCAGATCACAGTCGAATAAAACTAGAGATCAACCGTAACAGAAACTCACATTTCTACACAAAAACGTGGAAATTAAACAACCTCATACTAAATGATTACTTCATAAATGAAGAAATCAGGATGGAAATAAAAAAATTCTATGAAGAAAATGACAATGGAGAGACAAGTTATCAAATCCTCTGGACACAGCTAAAGCAGTTTGAGAGGAAAGTTTATCTCCATAAATGCCTATAACAAACAAAAAGATCACCAAATAGACAATCTAACGAAATGACTCAAGAGCTGGAAAGAAAGAACAGGACTAACCCAAACCCAGCAGAAGAAGTGAATCAACAAGATCAAATCGAATAAATGAAATTGAAAACAGGGAAGCTATTCAGGAGATTAATAAAACAAAAATTGGTTCTTTGAAAAATAAACAAAATTGACACGCCATTGGCTAGCTAACAAAAGCAAAAAAGAGAAATCTCTAATAAGCTCCATCAGGAACAAAAAAGGGGATATCACAACTGATCCCAAAGAGATACAAGATATAATTTATGAATACTACAAAAATCTTTATGCACACAAACTGGAAAATGTGGAGGAAATGGACAAATTTCTAGAATCACACAGCCTCCCTAGGCTCAACCAGGAAGAAATAGATGCCCTGACCAGACCAATCTCAACAGCTGAAATAGAAACAGCAATTAAAAATCTCCCTAAAAAGAAAAGTCCAGTCCAGATGGTTTCACACCTGATTTTACCACACTTACAAAGAAGAACTAGTACCTATCTTGCAGAAACTATTACACAACATCGAGAAGAACGAAAACCTCCCCGACACCTTTTATGAAGCGAATATTACTCTGATACCAAAACCAGGAAAGGATGCAACAAAAAAGAAAACTACAGACCAATATCCTAATGAATATAGATGCAAAATTTTCTACAAATCTTAGCTAACTGAATCCAGAAGCTTATCAAAAAAATAATCCATCACGACCAAGTGGGCCTCATCCCAGGGATGCAGGGATGGTTCAACATACATAAATCTACAAATGCAATTCACCACATAAACAGAAGTAAAAACAAAGACCACATGATTCTTTCAATAGATGCAGAAAAAGCTTTTGACAAAATTCAACACCCTTTCATGATACGAACACTTAAGTAAATAGGCATAGAAGGACATACCTAAAAATGATACAAGCCATATATGACAGACCATAGCCACATCATACTGAATGGGGAAAATTGAATCATTCCACTTAGAACTGAACCAGACAAGGCTGCCACTATCTCCACTTCTGTTCAACATAGTGCTAGAAGTCTTGGCTACAGCAATCAGACAGGAAAATGGAATTAAAGGTATCCAAATAGGGGGCAAGAGATCAAACTTTCACTTTTGCTGATGATATGATATATATCTAGAAAACCCAAAGATTCAACCAAGAACTCCTGAACTGATCAATGAACTTAGTAAAGTCTCAGGATACAAAATCAATACATAGAAATCAGAGGCATTCATATATGCCAACAACAATCAAATTGAGAACCAAATCAAAGACTCAATTCCCTTCACAATAAATAGCAACAAAGAAATTAAAGTACCTAGGAATATACTTAACCAAGGAGGTAAAAGACCTCTACAAGGAGAACTATGAAACACTGAGGAAGGAAATAGCAGAGGATGTAAACAGATGGAAATCCATACCATGCTCGTGGATCGGCAGACTCAACATCATCAAAATATCTATACTACCCAAACTGATCTACAGATTCAATGCAATACCTATTAAAATCCCATCAGCATTCTTCACAGATATAGAAAAAATAATTTTACACTTCGTATGGAACCAAAGAAGACCCCGAATATCAAAAGCAATTCCTAGGCAACAAAAACAAAATGGGAGGCATTAATATGCCAGATATCAAACTATACTACAAAGCTGTCGTAATTAAATCAATCTGGTATTGTCACAAAAATAGGAATATTGACCAGTGGAACAGATGTGAGAATCCTGATATAAAACCATCCTCATATAGCCATCTAATCTTTGACAAAGCAGACAAAAACATACGCTGGGGAAAAGAATCCCTTTTCAATAAATGGTGCTGGGAAAACTGGATAGCCACCTGTAGAAGGCTAAAACAGGACCCACACCTTTCACCTTCACAAAAATCAACTCACGCTGGATAACAGACTTAAACCTAAGGTATGAAACTATTAGAATTCTAGAGAAAAAGTTGGAAACACTCTCCTAGACATCGGCCTGGGCAAAAGTTTATGAAGAAGTCCCCAAAGGCAATCACAGCAGCAACAAAAATAAATAAATGGGACATGATCAAATTACAAAGCTTCTGCACCGCCAAAGAAATAGTCATGAAAGTAAACAGACAATCTACAGAATGGAGAAAATTTTGCATCCTATGCATCCGATAAGGACTGATAACTAGAATATACTTAGAACTCACGAAATTCAGGAAGAAAAAATCAAATAACCTATTAAAAAGTGGGCAAAGGACTTGAACAGAAACTTTCTAAAGAAGACAGAAGAATGGCCAACAAACATATGAAAAAATGCTCAACATCTCTAATCATCAGGGAAATGCAAATCAAAACCACAATGAGATATCACTTAACTCCAGTGAGAATGGCCTTTATCAAAAAGTCTCCAAACAATAAATGCTGCATGGCTGAGGAGGAGAGAGGAACACTCCTACACTGCTGGTGGGACTGCAGACTAGTTCAACCTCTGTGGAAAGCAATATGGAGATACCTTAAAGCGATACAAGTGAATCTACCATTTGATCCAGCAATCCCATTGCTGGGCATCTACCCAAAAGATCCAATGACACTCTACAAAAAGACACCTGCACTCGAATGTTTATAGCAGTACAATTCATAATTGCAAGACTGTGGAAACAGCCCAAGTGCCCATCAATCCAAGAATGGATTAATAAAATGTGGTATATGTATACCATGGAGTACTATTCAGCTCTAAGAAACAATGGTGACATAGCACATCTTATATTTTCCTGGTTAGAGCTGGAACCCATACTATTAAGTGAAGTTTCCCAAGAATGGAAAAACAAGCACCACATATACTCACCATCAAATTGGTATTAACTGAACAGCACCTAAGTGGTCACATAGGTACTACAGTAATAGGGTATTGGGCAGGTGGGAGGGGGGAAGGGGGCACGTATATACATATATAATGAGTGAGATGTGCACCATCTGGGGGATGGTCATGCTGGAGACTCAAACTTGGGGGGGGATGGGCATTTATTGAAACCTTAAAATCTGTACCCCCATAATATGCCGGAAAAAAAAAAAAAGAGAGAACACCAAATAAAGCAAAGCCAGAAACCTCTTAAGCTGTATTCCTTGCCACCTGGAAACTTTTCTTTGAGAGCTCTATTCAAAAATGTAAAGGCATTATGTTTTGATCTATTTTGCTTTCTGAAGAAAGCTCTTTTGTTATAGAAATTGACTATGCCATGAATACATCTGAAATAATAATAATATAAAATTATAGAAACAGACCAGTATATTCACTATGTTTTCCAATTTAGAATACAGAGTAAATTTCCTACCTTTACTTTTTAAAATAAAATTTAACAGCTTTATTGAGATATAATTCATATACCATAAAATTCACCTTTTGCTATTGAGACAGGGTCTTGCTATGTTGCCGAGGCTGGCCTTGAACTCCCGGGCTCAAGTGATCCCCTCACCTCAGCCTCTCGGGTAGCTAGAACTGCAGGCTCATGCCACTACTCCAGCTTAAAATTCACCCTTTTAAAGTGTACAATTCAAATGGTGTTTAGTATATTCACAGAGTTGTGCAAGCATCACCACGATATAATTCCAGAACATTTTCATCATCCCTTCAAAAACTTCATGCCTATTTGAAGTCACTCTTGGTTTCCCCTCCTCCCAGCCGCTGGCAATCACTGGCCCACTTGCTGTCTCTGTGAGTTTCTCTATTCGTACCTTTGCTCTTGGAAAGACACGTGGAAATGAATCAGGCTGTCTATGGGGTTGCCAAAGTTTACACTCAGATTCCAGAGGGAAAATAAATGATTTCGGATCAATTAAAGTTGGAAGCAACCTAAGGGGGGAAAAAGACTTTAAAATCAAATTTGCTGTCTTAAAAGCTTCTCAAATTATAATTTTAAAACAATGCTTTCTAGTTAAGATTATATTTTATAGAAAATATTCTATTGGTAATTACACTAAATTAAACCAATCTTTAGCATTTTTACCACTGGAAAACTGCAGTTGCTTTATTAAGCATAAGAATTTCCAAGTCTGATAAAGACATTATAGAATGAATGAAAAGTTCTATCACTCACTAATAAGTATATATGACTAACAATTGACAGAATTATTATACTATAAAACATTTCTTGGTAAAGAGAAACACATACTGTTGTATTTTGTTTAATAAAATCAAATTACAAGATAGTCGATGATAAATATATACAAAATGATGGTCCTTAAGTAGTTAATACTTACATCCTTTAAATCTCTGCTATTTTATATGATTGTAAAGATTTCAAGATGAAAGGTAGTTAAAGGTTTTCCTTGTTAAGCAGTGGACAGTTCCATGGGAGAGCAATGTAAAAACAAACTAAAATTGTAAGAATGAGTATATATGTGTAATCTTATATCTTAAAAATTTTAATTGGAAAACAGGATCTAGTTATTTAAAATGGTCAATGAAATTAAGATCAACAAAGCTCACCCACCAATAACTCAATCCCTTGATTCTACTGTGATTCCCACTTTTGTAAAATTATCTTTAAAAAGCAACTTATGGACTTTTAGTTTTGCTCCAACATGTAAAGAGCTTAGAAGTTGTTGCTCCCATTCTCACAACAAGAAAAAAGCTAAAATCAACTCTTTTTATATCTTTCAGAGAATTGAGATCACAGGGCAAACTGCTGCCCTGAAAACTGGAGAGAGAGGAGAATTCAAGGTGTAACAGCTTATATGGAGCAGAAACCTTGTTGCTGGAACCAGTACTGACAAGAACACTTAAACTCTATTTGACAAATTTCTCAAGGCTTGGTGTAGACTAACTTGAGAGTTAAAAACTCTGGGGGAGGCTGAGCACCGTGGCTCTCATTTGTAATCCTAGCACGTTGGGAGGCCAAGGTAGGAGGATGGCATCAGGTCAGGAGTTCAAGATCAGCCTGAGACCCCATCTCTATAAAAAATAGAAAAATTACCTAGGCACAGAACACAGAAAATTTAGCCAGGCACATTGGCACACATATCTGTAGTCCTAGTACTTGGGAGACTGAGGCAGGAGGATTGCTTGAACCGAGGAGTGTGAGGTTGCAATGAGCCATGATGATGCCACTGTGCTCTGCCCAGGCAACAGAGTGAGACCCTGTCTTAAAAAAAAAATAAAATAAAATAAAACAAACAAAACCCCCCAAAACTGAGAGAGGAAGGCAGTCTTTGAAGATCTCACACTTTTGTGAGATTTACCTCCAAGATCCCTATCATGTTCTCACTGTGAAGATCACAGAAAAATCCCCTCCTGCTTCTAGCAAGGGGAGGGGAAGTAACCATTTTGAAATATTCCCAGAGAGTTTTCTTGTTTGTTCTGTTCTTAGTAATGAAGGCCAACTCTTAAGCAAAACCATTTTACCAAAGCCTTATCTGCCCTGGAGGTGGGCAATTAGACAACTCCAGCCTGCTCTAGTTTTCTTGTCACACCTAAAGGGGGGAAATGCTGAGAAAAACTTGTGAAGATAACAGCCCAGGGTCACAGATCCACCAAAAGAGTGAGACCTAATCATAAAAGTATAGAATGCTTCCCTCCATACACACACACCTTACCACCACAATGATGGAGCCCCTACATAATAGAATATTAAAGATGGAAAAAAATGCAAGGTTCAGTCTCTATTTAAGGAGTTTCTAGGGAAACCCAAAGACAACAAAGTAGACAAAAATAAACTGGAGGAAAGTGAAGCCTTAGACACCTACAGCTATAGCAAACACAGAGTAACTCCTAGCCAAGATAAACATAAACCCTTACACTAAAGGCCTACTTAACCCAGTTCCTATTACACAGTAACATAGTGATGATATCCAGTTTTCAACAAAAAATTATGAGGCACTCTAAAAGGCAAAAAAAAAAAAAAAAAATAGTTTGAAGAGACAAAGAAAACATGAGAACCAGATTCAGCTATGACAAAGATTTTGGAATTATCAGATCAGGAATTTAAAGTAACTATGAATAACAGGCTAAAGGCTCTCATTAAAAAAAGTGAACAACATGCAAGAACAAGTGGGTAACATAAACAAAGAGATTTAAACTCCAAGAAATAATTAAAAAGAAATGCTAGAAATAAAAAATATTGCAAGAAATGAAGAATGTCTTTGATAGGCTTATCAATACACTGGACATAGCCAATGAAAGAATCAGTGAGCTTGAAGAAATGTCAACATTAACTCCCAAAACTGAAAAGAAAAGAGGAAAAAGGAATGAAAAAAACAGAACAGAATACCCACGAAGTGTGGGATAACTATAAATGGTATATTATATACATAATGGGACTACTAGAAAAAGAAGAAAAGGACAAAGGAGAAGAAATATTTGAGTAATAATGGCTGAGAATTTTCCAAAATTATAACAGACCCCAAACTACAGACCCAGAAATCTCAGAGAACACTGACCAGGAAAAATGTCAAAAAACTATACCTAGGCATATCCTATTCAAACTATGGAAAATCAAAGACAAAGAACAAATCTTGCAAGAAGAAAAAAATGCCTGACCTATTGAGAAACAAGGATAAGAATTATATTGGACTTCTCTTCACAAATCATGAAAGAAAGAACAGAGTGGATTAAAATATTTAAAATGTAGAAAGAAAAAGCCCACCAATCTGGAATTCTTTTTTTTCCTTTTCTTTTTTTTGAGACAGAGTCTCACTGTGTCGCCCGGGCTAGAGTGTCATGGCGTCAGCCTAGCTCACAGCAACCTCAAACGCCTGGGTTCAAGCAATACTTCTGTCTCAGCCTCCCAAGTAGCTGGGACTATAGGCATCCACCACCATGCCTGGCTAATTTTTCCTATATATATTTTTAGTTGGCCAATTAATTTCTTTCTATTTTTAGTAAAGACGGGGGTCTCACTCTTGCTCAGGCCGGTTTCAAACTCCTGACTTTGAGCAATCTGCCTGCCTTGGCCTCCCAGAGTGCTAGGATTATAGGTATGAGCCACCACACCCGGCCATGGAATTCTAAATCCACCAAAATTATTCTTCAAAAGTGAAGGGGATCTCAGTGAGTCAGGCTGTGGAAAAAAAAAAAAAAAAGTGAAGGGGAGGCTGGGCACAGTGCTCACACCTGTAATCCTAGCACTCTGGGAGGCCCAGGCAGGAGGATTGTTTGAGCTCAGGAGTTCGAGCCTGAGCAAGAGCGAGACCCTGTCTCTATTATAAATAGAAAGAAAATTAGCCAAACAACTAAAAATTGAAAAAAATTAGCCAGGCATGGTGGTGTGCGCCTGTAGTCCCAGCTACTTGGGAGGCTGAGGTAGGAGGATCGCTTGAGCCCTAGAGTTTGAGGTTGCTGTGAGCTAGGCTGACACCACGGCACTCTAGCCTAGGCTACAGAGTGAGACTCTGTCTCAAAAAAAAAAAAAAGTGAAGGGGAAATAAAGATATCTGCAGACAAACAAAAACTAATGGAATTTGTTGTCAGAGATCTATCTTGGAAAAACTGGCAAAAGTAATTCTTTGGAGAGAAAGAGAATGATTTAGGTTAGATATGGTATATATGAAGCAAAAAGAAAACCCAGTGAACTTACCACTGCATTTTTCCTTGTGTCCCAAAGAACCTAGTTGGTTTGCCTTCTCTCTTCACCTTTCAGAGTCTTCTTATATTTGTTTTATATAATGTCCAGGGTTTTTGGTTGTATTTAGGAGGAGGCATAGGAGAAAGTATGTCACCATCTTTCTGCAAGTGAATGTCTCTTCTTAAATCTTTTACCTCCATGAATTATGTGATTAGAAGTGAATTTAGATATTGATAATTGAATTGAGACACAACTTTGTAATCTGTATCCCCACTGTGAGAAATTTTCCATGTCATTAAAATTTCCTCAATAATATCAGTTTTAATAGCAATATAATACACATATAGATGTGCTATAATGAATTTAATCATTCTTTTACTGTTGACATTTAAGGTATATCCAAATTTGTTATTATTAGATATTAATAAATAATATAATCATACTTATACAGAAACTCCTGTATATCTCTCCTTATTTCTAAAGATAATTCCCAGAGCCACAATTACTAAATCAAAAATAATAATTTTAAAAAATCTTCTCACATATGTTAAAATTATCTTTAAGAACTTAATGTTCTCTTTCATTTCCAAACTGGTAATATAGATGCTAGCTCACTTCATACCCCACACAGAGAAAACCAAAATAAAATACAGCTCTATGATTATCATCAGCAGTATTCCAGAACCCAAATATAAGAATAAGACAGTTTCCAGCATCAAGGAGAAATGAAAAAACTCCAAGCAGATGGTAAGAGAATCAGATTTCTATATCTATGATTCTCCTACCCTGATCTGCCCTGTACCAAGTGCATAAAAATTTTTTTCCCAATTTACAATTCCACACTGGAAAAAATGAGATCAAGCTAGACAACCAGGTTCCTCACCATCTTGGGTTCCCTAGCAGGAGATCTGTCCCTGCCTTAACCCATGGGATGCATTGAGAATGCCTGAAGGGAGAAATATCCCTCAGAACAGCCAGAAACAAAGAGGGTAGGTGGGAGTATATTTCCAGCCCTGGAAACTCTGCTCTGTAACTTGGCCAGAAGAGACACCAAATCCAAGTGGATTATATTTCAGCAGCAGCCACTATAGGACTCTTGTCCCATAGGTCCCTTGAGCATGGGCTCCTAGCCAGCCTATCCACACTGTTGCAATATCTCCTTTGGGACCTCCCTCATTTACGACAGGCAATGCTCTGATCCTTTACTAGAGCCAAGGTAAACCTGGGCTTAAGGTACTATTTACGGATGAAAAGGAGGCAGCAAACTAGCAGGGGAAAAAAAAAAGAAAGA